TGCCATTTGCCATATATATGTAACACACCGGCTTATTCTGAAGCTTGGTTAGATATGAGATGTTGCCTTTAGTATTGCATTTAAGACAGTCTGACATGTACTAGTATTATAGTAGTATATGAGTTCAAGTTTGGGATGAATGCTACATAAAATACAGGATTAGATTGAGATATTTTGGAGTGGCAAATAGTGCAGAATGAAATAGTACTGCGTTAGCAATTTTCTCAAATTAGCATCAATCAAATGAAGTCGGTTAAATCCAAATTAAAATCGTCTATTTTAGAATTTTAGGATGTCTATACTCCATTTTTATGTCATCTGCAAATGTGCAAAGTGAGAACCTTGCCTCCCTTTCCTTTCCCAGGTTGGAGAGGGAGAGAAACTGGTGAAAGCTCTGTTTTCTGTAGCAAGAGAACTGCAGCCTTCCATCATCTTTATGGGTAAGACAAGCACGTCAGCTGAACGTACTGCGTCTGTGTCAATATATCATAACATAATCTGCTTAACACTTAGGCAGAACGTCTTGTTTAAGGCTGTGCTTGCCTTTTTAACCCTTGTCCTGCTGGCATTCCTGGCACAATATTTTTCAATAATTTCATGTCTTAATTAGATCATAAGAAACCCAAATTTTTTTGCCCTGCTGTGGCACAGTTACTTCCGCATTCGTTGCGTTTCGCTGCGGTGTGATGCGTTGCACGAGAAATACTCCCAAATCGTACCTATACAGGGTGTTATATAGATGGTACTGTATGTGCCGCGCGACATATGTTGCGCACAGCAGGACAAGGGTTTTAAGGATTACATGATTGTATATCCCGTCTATGGTTTTCAAATGTTGTGTTGAAAAATATATCATCATTCTGCAACATGCAAAATTCTGAATGCAACGTTGACCAAACATCCATTACCGAAAACTGTGGAAAATCTTGGTTTTGCACGTACATGCACAGTACGTTCAGCCAACATGCTGGTAAGACACTAAAAGGTGGAGTTTCCCATCTACCTATAATTAGCACTCTCCTGAACTATTGACTAAGGCCGACTTTAGACTGACGACGGTATACAATCGCACGACAATCGTTGTGGGCGACGGCTGACTTTAGACAAATGACCAGAAAGTGTGACGGACACCCGCAGCGCAGGAGGGCACGCCGCGCGCTAATTCAAAATGGCGAGAGAACCCCTTTTTTCGGCATGCTGCAGAAGATTGTTTTTATTCTGCTTTTAACTCGTTGTTCTGTGGATGAGACTCCTAGTTTGTGCCCAGCAAAGAAGGGGTATGAGGCACATGTACCAAGCGGGGCAATATACTCAGTGCTGCCGGTGCTGCCGTCGGCCGGGAAATGTGGATCGGCGGATTGGTTCGTACCGGAGAAGTAGCGATTGGTGGCTGGGGATTGTACTAGACACGTATGACGATACAAAGTCTTTGGTTTGACGGCATTTAATGATACTGGCGATGTGCTTAGACATGAAATAACGCTTGCAGGCTTATTTGCATAAGGCCAATGACCTCCCACTTCCTTCGCCGGCGACGGTTCACTTTAGACGGTGGAAAATCCTCCTCGGACCCCCCACTGAAGGATCGCACGATAGGGTCCGAGGTGGTAGTTACGACGATTCGAGGATTACCGTCGTGCGACTATTTTGATCGTGTTTAGACGGTTGTAAAATACCGTCGCCGGCAACATCTTGACGATAAACATTCGTACGACTATTTAACTGTCGTCAGTCTAAAGTGCCCCTAACTCACTGTACCTATCAGGATAGACCCTGCTGCAATTGATTGAGCTATCAAAGATACATAAAAGCCATCCGTCATCTTTATCTCTTGTACAGCTCATTGGGAAGGCTGTTATGGTGGAATTAGGGGAACCTTGGAGGCTTGCCAGCAGTGCTGCCTTCAGCTGATAGCCACCTGGCTAATCTTTTAGCTGATGAATGCATTACAGGCCCATCTTTGCTTGGGTGTAAAGTCTTGTACAGTAGAAAATAACATTGAAAATCAAATTTTTCCTGCACCACTCAGAATTTAGGAAATATTCATCATACTTAATATGGATTATGATTTGATTTGATTCTAAATGCTTCTCATAAACCTTTGCTTTTGTTTCTTTTATACTTCGTACGTGGTAACAGTCGGTGCAGTCATTAAAAATCCACATACACCTAAACCCAGTACATGACTAGCTGCAGGTAGACAGCTATACAGAAATACCTGCACAGCTCCAATTTTATGTGCACTAACCTGCATATACCCAGTACATGGACCAGTGCAGGTTAGGTGCAGGTAGACATCATAAATACATGCACAGCTCCAATTTTACCTGCACTAACCTGCATATACCCAGTACATGGCCCAGTCCAGGTTAGGTGCAGGTAGACATCAGAAATATCTGCACAGCCCCAATTTTACCTGCACTACTAGTAACCCGAATATGCAGGTGGTATGTCAAGCCCTGGTTTACATGTACATGTATGTTTCTTGTAGATTGCTGAGTTATAAATTCTTTTATGTGTCCTGTAGATGAGATTGACTCCTTACTGTGTGAGAGAAGGGAAGGGGAGCATGATGCCAGCAGGAGGCTCAAAACAGAATTTCTCCTGGAGTTTGATGGGGTGAGTATTAAAGGGATGTTTTGGTCTCAACTGTTCTTGACCTGTAAAATATCTTGAAAGCTGTTCCAAAATAGGAATGATTGTGAATGATGTTGTTCAATTGGAATTGCCTTTCCCAAGGGCACAAGATCAGTGACAAGGGTGGGGATCGAACCCAGGACCTGAGCCGAAAGCGCTACACGACCCCACAATTTCCTCCTACTTCCAGAGAGTCAGCGATTGCATCTGACGAAGATTGAGGAGATCGACCGAGTTCCCTTCTTGTGTTGGAACTTGACAACTAAAGAATATTGTGCTATTCCATCATTCACCAACTTGATGAAATTATTCATGGGTGTATGGTATGCACTGTAGGTGCACAGTGGAAACGATGACCGTATCCTGGTGATGGGAGCCACTAACCGACCCCAGGAACTGGATGATGCCGTCCTCAGGAGGTTCGCTAAGAGGGTCTACGTACAGCTGCCTGAACTAGAGGTGTGAACACCTTTACTTTTCTCTTACACACTGAAGACCAATGTTGTTCCTAGGCATAACGCATATAGCAAACTCTTATAACTTTATATTCTATGTTAGGTCTTTCATGATTATTACATCAGCGTAGTGCTTTGCTTAGAGTGATTTTAGGTTACATTAGGTACCACTATGTTTTGACTAATTTTAGATTCATAGCTTCAGTCTATGTTTTCTATTCTACTATGTTTCACTGACAGTAATGTAGATGGGCATGCAATTCAGCCATCTGGACAGACAGACACACATACATGTGGGGTCGTGTGGCGCAGTCGGTAGCGCGTTCAGCTCACACCCTAGAGGTCGCGGGTTCGAATCCTGCCATGTCACCGATCCTGTGCCCTTGGGAAAGGCACTTTACACGACTTTCCTCACTTCACTCAGGTGTAAATGAGTACCTAGCTTTGGCTAGGGATGTCCCTCGGATAGGACGTTAAATGGAGGTCCCGTGTTTGGGAGAGCCACACCCCACGCACGTTAAAGAACCCACCGCACTTATCGAAAAGAGTAGGGGACCTTCCCGGTGTGAGTGGTTCAAACGTTACAGTCTAGACTCGGGGTTGACATCTTTGAAGAGGTGATAGTCACCTGTTATTTCAATCCTTCCACAAATGTGGTAAATCGTCATAAAAAATACATGCATACATAAATTGAAAACTTCTGTGAACCACAGATCTGTAACCATATTTCTTGTCTCCTACAGACCAGAGTTGTTATAATGTCCAGACTGCTAAAGAAGCACAACAATCCCCTCAACCAGAAAGAGTTGCAGAACCTCGCAAGGTAACTTATAGTCATTGTACTGACAAGTTGTATGTATTGAGTTATTTGGGCTGGAGCTGCACAGAGCTCGTTGAGCTGTTTAGATAGGGTCCAAAATCGTTTGCGAAATCTCGTTGGGAGAGACCTGCATGCCACCTTACAACCGCTTTCACACCGGCACGATGTTGCAAGTCTGGCGTTACTATATCGATATTTCCACGGCAGATGCTCTGCTGAACTTCACTCCCTTGTACCCCCACTCAGAACATTCTCTGCAAGAACACGCTTAGCCACCTCAACAGCAGAAAATCACCCTTTCTTCCTCAATAGTCCATCAGTCAAGAGAAAATTTCATGCTGACAGTTTCTTCCCCACAAGGGGTTAGAGAGGCAATATATGAAAGAATATACAACCCCACCCTCAACAGGGGGGCTACGGGTAGAACTCTCATGCACTTGACACAGAAGAAATAATCTTTGCATGCACGTGATCATTAGCCTGGGTACCATCCGGATTTTTGCTACGCAACGCTCGAAAAAATCCGACATATGATATAATGGGATAAGTGTGTCGACTATAACACTGTTGATTTTCTTTCTCACCCAGGCAAACAGAAGGCTACTCAGGAAGTGACCTGACAAACTTAGCCAAAGATGCAGCACTGGGACCTATCAGAGGTTAGGCTTACTCATACTCTAGGTGGCTACTATTATAATTGTATCTGTGAAGAAGGAAAACGTCTTGTTTTTGCTCTGTTACCTCTTCTTCTTCTCCAAACATATAAGGTCAATGACCTGGACCAGACATCTGTTACTATGGTAACTGTAGCAGACACCTTGTGGTATTGGGTTACATAGCTACAAGTGCTTGTTACAATACATGAATATGTTTGAGTAAGAATAAAGAATGCAGTAGTTGGGTAGGCTAGACCATGTGAAGGTAAACGTTATGAATTTGCTTTGCATAGTAACTTTCTAGTTACCATTATAATTGGCAGTTTATACTCCCTATTGTAGGCAGGTTCACAAAAATTTTACATCTTTCTCTTCTGCAGAACTGGATCCCGCCCAAGTGAAGTCCATGCCAGCAGACAAGGTCACTATTATTTTTTAAATGCATTTCAAGCCCTATATTACTTATTAGCCTGGGTGCCAGACTGTTGCCAAGGCCAGTAGATAGCCTGCTCCTCGGCTCCAGAGCTAGCCTGGGTGCCAGACTGTTGCCAGGGCCAGTATACAGGACAGCTCCTCGGCTCCAGGGCTAGCCTGGTTGTCATACTGTTGCCAGGGCCAGTAGACAGGCTAGCGGCCTCGGCTCCAGAGCTAGCCTGGGTGCCAGACTGTTGCCAGGGCCAGTATACAGGCCTGCTCCTCAGCTCCAGGACCAACATGTCCACAAGGAAATTTTACCACAGCCCCCTCAATTAAACAACTTACACTCTGCTTTTCAGGGTCTAACTTAGGTCTGGCCAGTGTACAACGGTCTGTCATTCACGCTACTTCTGTGTAGTTTTACCATATTTCTATTTGCTCATCTTTGTCAGCGTTGCAAGCTTTGAGTCCTCAAAATCAACTTTGTTAGCTGGAATCTTACACTAGATTCACTGCAACATTACCCTGTAGAAGTGAAGAATGTAATGCAAAGGCATGTTGCATTTTTTCCATTCAGGCCACACCAATTTAATTTGTTGGTTCTCAGATTTGCCTCTTCATTTTTTTCTGATTTGCAAAAAAAAGATTCTGGTTCTGAATCAACTCAAACTCATATTTTGTCCCCAACAGTTAAGGAAAGTCCTTTTCTTCCTCGTTGTTACAGTTTTTCCATCTATCAATTCAGCGGTTTGATTAAAAGTATACTAGTATATGGGGGGTATAATAGGATGCCTAGACCTGTTTTTATTTTTATTTCATTTTTGCCCTGTCGCTTCACAATCCGAGAACCAACAAATGAATTGGTGTGGCCTTAAGAGGGATTTCTTCGAGTCACCCATTTAGCATTTTTTTTATACAGATCCGTAACATCAGATACTCTGACTTTGTGGACTCGCTGAAGAGAATACGTCGCAGCGTACCTCAGAACTCTCTGTCGTCCTTCGAGCAGTGGAACAGGGACTACGGAGACATGTCAACCTAGCAGCGCTGGACGGAGGTTCTCGGCACGTTGGCAGAACACACTGCACCTGCGCAAAACCCAGCAAGTTTTCAATAATCCACTTGCCCTTTTGGGCAAGTACAAGGTCATTTTCACTTGCCCAAACCAACTTTTCACTTGCCCAAAATATACATATTTCTATGCATTTTTACTACCACCAAGGAAATAATATTACTTTGGAGTTTATAATGCTGGATGCTTTATGTAATATTGAAATAAGGTGGTTTGACTTGCTCCAAATACCGTAGCAGCAATGCTTTGCATCCAAACAATTTGCTTGTCTAGGGGCAAGTCTAGGGGCAAATGCAGCTGCCCGAACAGTACTTTTACTTGCCCTGGGCAAGTGGACAATTGGACTTGTCCCATAATGTACTGCACATAGCACTTCGGCAGAACATCTCATATAAGGTTGTATTCGAGTATATATGGTTAATATCCCGTCTGTAGTTCCCAAATATTGTGTTGGAAAAGACATCGTCTGCAACAGGCAAAATTCTGATGCAACGTTGACCAAAAATCCAACCAAAACCTGAAAAATCAGGTTTTCGCGCAGGCGCAGTACGTTTTGCAGACATGCTGAGATTCTGTCTTCTCTAGTCCTCAGAAAAAAAATGTTAATACAATCATGGAAAATTGTGGAAACCTTGTTTAATTCCCATGCCTGAAAAGCCATTTAGATGCATCAAAGCCTTTCAAAGGTACTTAAATGTTCTTAAATGTTGAATTGAAAAATCCTTTCATGTGAGAAAACACATCTTAGTAAATATTAGTCAAGCATGGCTGTCACAAGCGATGGGTATTTATGTTTGTCCACTGAAAGTCAGGGGCCCAATGTTCCTATACCATTATTACGTCACAGTTTGTTCACTGCAATGAATGCCGGTCAATTGCCATTTCTATTGTACAGGGGTGCGTAGCTCGGTATGTGTTTGTGTAGCGTTAGCCTGATATAAGGCGTTTAATACTACTTTCGTCTAATGTCACAACTAAATCACCCATGCGGCATGTAATGCTGTGTCAACACAAATAGACGCAGCAAAAATCAGACATACCTTACTTTGAAAACATTGAAATGATCTTTCTTCTTTAACTGACTGTTCTAGAATGTTCTTTAGAACAGGTAAACAAACTGTGACGTAATAATGGTATAGGTCCATTATAACGCCAGCTCTATGATGTATATTTCAATTTTTTTGTCAAAATTTCCAGTTAAAAAAACATGATAAGGGACGTTTTGGACAAGAGCTGTTTAAACCTTCCCTATAATCCATGAAAGAATTGTTTATTGTACATATGATTTGACTTATCATGTTACTAGGTTTGTTATACAAGGGATATGTATGGTGGGCAGTAATCATCTTTGTAATTTTGTATAATTTTCACTGAAATACAGGCTAGTTGGCAGCCAGTTGTCTGTCTGCCAAAGTAAATTATGCTGACTTTGTTAGTTAAGACTTTGTACAGGTTTTCAAGAGCTTCCAGTTGTACATATGTTACCAGTATTCCTTTTCATCATGGTACCACATTACTAATCTGCTCTTACTTCTATGCAATTACTGTGAATTCAGCACCAAGGACAGACACACCTTGTTGTCCAGATACACGTTACAGGTCTTACGTTATGTTAGGCTGTACGCCTGCATGTCATGTGCAAAGCCATATTGACGAATAAGTTGCTCTGCAGTCCATTCATTCCTGTCATTTGTGCAATCCATTCCATCATTAACTTTTTTGTATATATATATATAGTTGCAAGGAAGCCAGACAGTCCAGAAGGCTTAGACATGAAAAGCATGTCAGACTCCACATCTAGATGTTTACATTTAACAGGATCTGCATTGCTAATCCAGCTTCAACCTTCCAGTACTTGTATTCAAAGATTCGTGACTTGACTATAGTACAGTGTTCTCATAGGCCTTCCCTATGCTGTAATTTGGACCCCCTATGCTGTGATTTGTACCCCCATGCTGTGTTTCAACCAGCATAGGGGTGTTTTTTTTTGTAAGAAATTAATAAATCTTGCCAAAAAATGAAAATATTATTTTAGAATTAAGCTTTAGCAAACGGAAAACATTAACTTTACAAAATCTGTCCATCAAAAAGTGAGAAATAGTGTCTCAGGGGGTTATGAGTTAAATTTTTTTCTGGTCAACGAGCGACTTGCGCCGCGAAAGTTGCCCTTCTGCACGCGACCCCTACACTGTGAAAAAATCCTGGTGAGAACACTATAGTATATACACTGCAGGACCTGATGTTGGATCAATGCAAAACCACATTTAGTGATGATTGAGTCCAGCAACAGACTTTGTCCCAGCTGACTTGTGCAGTAAACACAAACTTGCTGCTCAACTGATAGTCTTCACCAGGCCTTCATAAAGAGGGGAGAATTCATCCAGGGGAGTTGGTCCACTGTTCAGGTCTCATTTTCCCCCTCGGATGGGTAAATGAACCCTATGTTCCGTATAACAGGAGCTTTCTGACTAATTTGCATTATCTTGTCTTGACTTGTCTGACTTTTGTTCCTTTTTCGACTTCCAAAAATTTGTCTTCACTTTATTTGCATATCAATCAATAGTTTGTGCTTATAAACCTGCATTTCCCCTCTGGTCTCTCAGTCACTGACGAAAGCTAGTGGATACTAGCTGAAACGTCTGACGTTTTCAAAATCATATCCAGTTGCTTGAGTAACTGCTTTTTGGTGAACCCTATGGTGGCCAAACTCCCCTGGCCAAGTATTCTCCCTATTTGGGTGAATTTTATTGTTTTTCAACCCCCATTGTTAGTCTGGTGGAGACTAAACTGATCTCACAGCCCTAGCAGAGGTCACATAGCTTGATACTGTTTCACTGTCATTATATTCTCATTGAGGAATGCATGTTTCAGCAGACAGGTCTGTTCATATATGCATACCATGATTCAGAAGAAACATGCTTGGCTGTGCCTTAGTCATGATGAGGCCTCACCAAAGCTTGCCATAACAGAATGATGATACGACACCTGTATTGGCAACCTGCATCGGCACTTTTTCTACGCCTTCAAGTACATGCAAGCAATGTTGTCCAAGAACCTTTGTGAAGAGTCACAATATGTGGACATGCAGTGATGTAGAGATGCTAGATTGTCTCACAAATGTGATAGCAGCTATCGCTGAAGTCTTCGATGGATTTAGAACATGTCCAACATGCTTTTTTTCCATCATTTTTTACAGGCCAGATCCCTAAAAGTTAGAAAGAAACCACACATTTTTCCCAATTTGTTTTCAGGAAATGCTGTATAACTTCATATTGTCCTGATTTAGCCATAATCATTTTCATACCGAAATGCTGGAATTCTGCTTCAGAAGCAGTTTGTACATGTACATGATGATTGTTCTGCCTTGGGTATAGCTGTTAGTATGGACAGGAACATAATTATGATTCTTCAGCTCTAAGCTTTATATATGGTATCCAGCATAAATGGAACAGTTGTATGAAATACCTCGATTACGGTTTTAAATGGTTGTTGGTAATGTGGCAGTTTTAAATAAACCTACTTAATCAACTTCACATCTGTGTTTCATAAGTTTTACAGTTTAATCACAGTTGTCACAGTGTGAGCTGTTGTAGTGGATGGCAGCCTTTGTAGATAGTGGAATGCCTGGCGTTTCTATGTCCAGTAGCTGTGTGTAATGTGGATTGTAGAATGAGTTCATGTCTGTTCTCAGTACGTGTTTATCTAATCCAAAGAAATTAAGGCTCATGAAGTACTGAAGCTTCTTCTATTACAGCAACAAGATGACTACTAGGCAGTTTTGTCCTTTGGCACGTTCTTACATCACGGATGGTTAATATGTTTACCTTTGCAGATGAGAAAACATTGTTCATGCTCTGTTTCTTCTTCTCCAAACACATAAGGTCAATGACCAGGACCCGACGTCTGTCGCCATAGTAACTGGTGTTGTAGCAGACACCTGTTGGTCATCTTTCATACTGCTTAGCCCAACAAATGGTAGTGTTGGGTTACATTATGTAGCAAGTGGAAGGATGGAGGGCCTGGTCACCTTATATATGAATGTGTTTGAGTAAGAGTAAACAGAGCAATAGTTCCACTAGAACATGTAAAGGGAAACATTAATTAATTGCTTTGCAAATGTTTTATTTTCTAGTAACAATATTGTATGCTTTCAAACGGCTGAATTGAAAACACAAGACGTGCAGTATGAAAGCCACATTGGTGAAGGATCGAACATGAATAAAGGTTTATTACTTAATGTTGTGCATCATTCTTGTTTCTTCAAAAAATAAACAACAATATGACCATAGAGTATGCATAATTTATGTTATACCCTTCAATACATGTTACTGTATTTACATGAACATCTTTGGCCATACATGTACATGGCCACAGCTTGCATATTTTGTAACTGCGGGGGGTTCAGTCAATTCCAGAATACTTTGCATCAAACTTGGTGCATACAAGTATCCACACGATGGATGGATGCTGACCAAACTTGGTTCAAACTTTCAGTAACAAACAGCAGTAGATTTAGACACATTCCTTTGGCTTTGAGTTACAATTTTCCAAACATTGCCTATCAGATGCTTGTACTTAGGCCACACCGACTTAATTTTATAGATGACATCCTCTGAAGACCCCCAAACTAGTGCGCGCGGGCGAATAAAAAAAAATTCCGGCCAAAAAAAAAATGAAACTTAACCACAGAAATGCAAAGCTGGTATTGTGAATTTGCAGCAGTATATAGCGACGTATACGACAAGCCGGCACATGCTGGCTTTTTGCAGAATTTTTGAATCTGCACTCTACGTATGTACTGAGTTTTTGAGTCTTGGAGCTTCGGCAGCCAGAGTTGTCTCCGTTTTGTCGCTAACCACCATGGACTACCCAGGCCTAGAGCCAGGACAGAGCCTTTGAGGACGTGGTCTTTTTTTTTTGAGAACAGGCGATAATCAATGCGCGCGCGGATGTGATCCATAAG